CATGTAGTCTATCCACACAGGTGTTTTCACTTATGTTGCCTGATTAGACCTCTTCTGGACTGTGTGGGTGTATAAAACTGACATGATTGATATCTCACTGACTGTACCTGTTGTCATGGTTATTGCTCAATAGAATTTATGATACGAAGTTCAATCAGATGGTAAAAAGATATGAAGCTCACCCGTTGATGATCTGTGTAGAAAACATGGAAATAAAGGAGCAGCATTGTTCTTGTATTAAAGGGCAGGGCTAATTAGCCCTTCTATTATATCCATGCAGTCGATCCTGAATGGGGCTTTTTCTCACGTAACCTGTGACAGAAACACAACATTATTGTGAGAATTTAAAGTAAATGCCAGTTTTGGCTTTAGAATCAAAACAAGCTGTTTCGTGAAGGGGTTTAGTGAACAGTACGATTATATATTAGCAGGAGAATTCTCTTCTGAAAGCCAGGACCTCTTCAAATCTACTATTGTTGTTATTATTAATAGTATTTATATTATCATTACTGCTACTATTACTGCTTTTATTATCATTCTATTGTATACACCGCTGCTGTTATTATTACTAAGCATTTTTATTTTATTAGTTCGGCTATTGCTGCCACTGCTGCTATCACTGCTCTCATTATGTGCATCATTTCTCTCATATGGATTGACTACGTTGTAATTTCATTATATTGTTCATTCTGTAGACATGACGATCTGTTGCACTTCTGGCCATCCTGGGAGAGGGATCCCTCCTCTTGCTCTGATGCTCTCTTCCTCCTTTTCCTCATAATAGAGTAGTTGTTTTGGGAAAGTTTTTCCTATTCCAATTTGAGGGTCCAAGGGCAAAGGATGTCGTATGTTTTACAGAATGTAAAGCCCCCTGAGGCAAATTTGTGATTTATGATATTAGGCTATATAAATTAAATTGATTAAAAAAATGTAATCAATTAAATCCTTGATGGTTCTTTTCATGCAACATAATCTCTTTTGTCACTATTTAAATCTGGAACAGTAATTCTGTCAGAATGTGTTACTGTTCATTTGTACTGTAAGATAATCACTGCTATACTATTAGGTATTGTGATATACTGTAGGCGGTGTTACAGGTAATGTACAATAGACACAGTAGGGGTGCATGGTAGTGATTACGTCACTTCCGATATTAGTAAGTTGTCAGTGCATCCGGGTGTAAATGCCTAACGACAACTTTATTAAGTAGCAAAAAACATTTCTGCCCCAGCTGGTTGTGAGTATGACAGTACGGGCTGGATGCTGCAGTTAGACTACAAACAGGACCTCCATCACACCACCCTGTCTGTCTCTGTAGCGCTGTTCAAACGTCAAACTGAATCTCCTGACATCAAGTGAAGGGCAGATTTGAGAGCGTGTGTGTCACCTTCTCTTTTAAGTTTCCCTCTAATAAAATTCTAATTAACTTCCGGGTAACATGTGTGAAGACACGAGGTTGGGGGCAGAGGCGGGGGTTAATGGGGGTAAAAGATGAGGTGATGAGTCTCTGTGAGTTTGTGACAGACAAGCATTGCAGTTCCCACCTATGGACTCGCACACTTTTTTTGAGTCAACCAGTGGGCCTGCTGCTGCGACGCCTATATCGTAGCCTACTTTGCTCAGCGTGACTGAGTTGGACTGGAAGTGACATGCATCCAAATATACGGCATCCGCTTCTGTCACACATCTGTCTTTCTGCCGGAATAATGTTCGAACAGATGCTGCAGACTGTGAGGGAGTGCTGCTTTAGTGAATGAATGAAAATGGGAGTTTATGATGTTTAGCACGTGGATAAATTTGATAGCATCCGGTCTCCCCCCCCCCCCCTGTTTGAAACACACAACAGCACCAGATAAAGAGTGCAGAATGCTCAGCTGAGATTCAGTATTCCAGCTCATGCCCGGCTATGCAGCTGAAGCAGGGTGAATTAATATGAGGACAGAAAACGTGGTCCCATGTCACCCCGGGTATAATGCGGTCTCAAGCATATCAGGGTGCCCCAGCTGTGACCGTGCAGTCTTATAATTTCTGAGCCATGTAACACTTTCTGCACTCCTTTGCTCTTCCCCTCGAGTGGAAAAGAAACTCCATCTCCATCTCGTTTCCGGTGATACTTTTCCTTTACTCAGACACTAAGCAGAGGAACGAAAATAAATCGGAGTTCTCTTTAAGGTCACGGAGAGAAATCACAGATGTTCTCCTTCCTGATTGGAACATGCGTGGTGTCCTCGTGCACACACATATAGGAAGACAGATAAAGAAAAGCTTTTCTTAGTTCCTTTTTTTTCTTCTTTTCCTTGCATGTGGATGAATTATTATCTTGGTTGTTGGACTGTTTCTCTGCAGAGACAGTTCTTTTGCAAACATGGGAGCAAAATGTTCTCCTTTGTCAAAACGGTAACATTTGTGTGGAAGAAAGGTGGACAGCATTCCTCGTGTTGAGCCTTCAGTCATCGATGGATCTTGTCTTATTTTAAATTTTAAAATAACACAACTCTAAAGTTGAATCCCTTCAGCTCTGCCCTTTTGTGAGTCAAGGATTAGAATCAGCATTCATAATGAGGACAAGTAGGGATCTGGGCCCATCATTTCCTCATTGAACAAAAGGTCACAGATCAATACCTTTGTACAAGTTTGAAAAAAAAAAAAAGGTTTCATGTCTGCGGATGAGAGGATTATCTGTTGATAATCAACAATCGATAGCCACCTGTGCCACCTGTAAAGGTAACCGGCAAGCACCCTACTGTTTGTACCTTATTCCACTTCTATTTAATATATTCACTGCAGGGAGCACCAACAGAAAGGAAACAGATGACCCTGATAACCAGAGTGCATCCACTGAAATACAAAGTAGTGCATGCATAAACAGGACCTGAGAGATACGACTGTTTTTAATGGAAACCTTTTAGGTTAAAGATCGACAATATATTCAGAATTAGAATAAACCCCTGAACCGTGATATGGATTACATGCAGCTGAGCAAAACATCTATAGACCTCTTAATAGCACTGTACACTACTGAATATACTATACAAGATATTGCACATTTACCTTAATACAATTTACTCTATCTTCACTTCATATTCAGCTTCAACACTTTTATAATTATTTGCATTTATTTGCATATATGTGTGAAATTAAATCCAGCTCAGTCATCATTAAGCCTTGAGAGCTGTAATTGCAAAAGTTATCACAGTTTTCAGAATGCATCACAACTACTGTTATGTTAATAAATATGCTGTCATGTGAAACCATTCTCTGTTAAATGGTCCTCCCATGGACGGGGAACAGTCTCAGTCCATTTAATTTAATCCCTGTAGCTACTTGATTTTATGGCATTTTTTTTCTCCGTACGCATGGTGCCTGCACGCCATGGCAACAGGTCTGGTGAGACAGTGTCTGCAATCACATAACTAATTATAGCATTGGTTCAAGCTGCAGGTGAATTAGTGCCTGATGTCTTCTCTTTAGTGTGAAAATGATTCCCTCCTCATGGAGGCACATGGCAGGAGGTGCTGCTTGTGAGGGATGTTTTTCAAACAAAAACAAACAAACAAACAAAAAAATCGACTGGGTCGAAAATTAGTTAAAATATATGGTTTCTGCTGAAAAATGAAGAAAGCACAGATTGTCCCAGTGTGACGGCAGAGCTACAGTCAGTGCTCGGAGACAAAATTCTGTGTCACTTATTCATTTACAAACTAAACCACAAAATCGTATGACTATATCCCATAAGGCATTATGCCTATAAGTTACTGTGGCTAAAGTCAAAGGACACAGAACCTCTCCGTCTTATAAATAGTTGTGCAAACAGCAGCAGGTAACATCCAGCTGCAGCTGAAGGATCCTTTCACTCTTAAAAATCTTGTATCACAGTGTCCCCTTCTGGCGAGTCCGGGCTACACCCGAGCTTTAAGCCTCCGGTGTGGAAATGGAGCACGATTACTGGACTCACTCTTGTGTGTTGATTGTGAGGGGAAGAATCATCCACGAGGGCGTGACTGGAAATCTCCTGCTGAATTTGTGTGAAATCTTGTGTGAAAATTCTAGCGGGAGGGCATTAAAGAAAGTTGTTCTCGTTGGATATTCGTTTTTTGATGGAGGGGAAGAGCAAGCACAACTGAGCTCTTCCATCTGTCTTCCATCTCTTCACAGACCCTTTTCTTCGGAGCATAGTGCCTCCCTGTAAGACCCAGCACACACACACACACAAGCCACTGGACTCTCCACATCAAAGTCTTCCATAAAGGCCTGGTTTTGGCTTTGGAGGAAAAAGATGGATAGTTTTATATTTTATATTTCTCATCCATTAGACTCTGCGCTTCGTCATTCAGGCCCTGCTTGTTTTCTAAGCATGAGGATTAAAATATCTCTCCAGCGAGAGAAGCCAAGAAACATCCCCCATAAAAAAAAGGAATCTAAAAATTTGAGATGTGTGCCTCCAGGGGCTGTTTGTGCTGTCCTGAAGAATACAGAGGCAATTTATGCTCAGCCCAACTTATTTCCATACAGCATATCACTTCAAGTGGGCTTATTTACATCTGTTGGGAAATGAGGACAGTTTGGTACCTTACTGCTGAAATGCATTCTGGGAAGCTGCAGACTGAACAATCAAGAGCGTCCCCGCTCGTATGAATATTCAACGTGTCTATACAGATATATCATAACAGAAAACATTAACAAAATAGCGTATCAAAGTGTAATCAGATATATTGCATGTGCACCGAATGAAATATGCATGACAAATTGGCTTCAGAGAGCACAGAGCAGGCAGGTCCTCTGAACCCTTTGCACAAAAAGGCTCATTGAAATTCCTTTCATTATGACTGTGGCACTACAGAGAGACGGAGAATGAGAGGGACGGACGGAGAAAGATGAGTGTAATGGTTTCTGATTAGAAAGGCAGGGAAAAGCCTTGCATCATGTACTGGGATATAATTACAAGGAATTATGCAATTTCACCTCTGGGGGGAAAAAAAGTCAACAAAAAACACACGAGATGAGCATTTAGTCATTTTATTTACAAATGTTACTGTTTGCCTCGATCCAGTTAGTGCGATATAATCTTCACATGGAAACCTGCTTGTGTGTACAACTCCTCCATCCATCAGTGAAAACTGCAAACAGCTGCTATCCAAGCAGACGGTTTTAAATATGCTTTGAAAGGATCCTAATAATCTTAATTGCTAATCCCACCAATGAAAAGGCACACAGACGCGACGAGAATACATTGGTCGACAGACCTGTTAATACCACAAGACTCAGCGGAAAAAAGAAGAAGCAAGAGTGAGACGAGATTGAAACCTCGAAATATCTCTCAAGATCTCTAAAAATCTGTCATTACAAAGATTTGCCTCAATAATCTTATCGACAATTTAACGCTTTGACTAGTTTCGTGGCTAAAACATCAAAACTTGCGGATGCATGCAGAACCCTTACATTTTGTACAACTGTAACACTTAATAAGATATAGACACGTTAAAGTAGATAACTTCTTTGCAAGCTTACCCTCTCAATCATACACTGAAAATTAAAAATTAAACGGATTATAATTTGAGTCAACCGGAAATTTCTGTCGCCATAAATGGAAGTATGTCCAGACCAGGTGTCCCCGGCTGTTTGCAGTGGCTTCGATGCACACGTTAAGGGGTAAGGGGCTCAGGGGTTGTTGTCACATGTAGTCTCTTCATCAATCTGCTGGAGTACAGTCACGTCACATAGTGGTTGGCTGGCCAGCTGGGAGACAACAAACAGCAGCATTAGAGAGAAGAAAAGCAACACGACGTCATGCTCGTCATGTTGATTTGCGCGCTCACCTTTGAATCGCACGTAGCAGGTGTTACAGAAGAGCTGCTTGTTCCGTATTCTGACCTCGGCGCCGGCTGCCGACCCTCCGAGGTCACACTTGCAGTCGATGCACTGAGGGAGTTTAAGAAAGGGAAGAGTTAGAGAGCTACTCAACCGCTGGTTAAAAGCTATAGACTACAGTGTCCAAGTCCAAAAGGTGGAGGGATGAGGACAGATAAGACGCCCCCTTGATTGTATGAAGAGAGAGAAAAATGGAGGGAAAAGGATAAATGAGAGTCGAAGATTGGCAAGATGGATCACTGTTCAGATGCAGGAGACCGAGCTCGAGTGAAGACCAGAGTTCAAGGGAAGGATCAACAATTAAGCTTTGGTAAAAAAAAAAAAGAAAAAGAGAGACAAAGTGAGGGAGAGGTCGATTAGTTTGTCTTGCAGGGTTTTGGCACAGAACATACTACTTTGCTCAAGCTGTGAAAGAGATCAGGACCTCGAGATTCACCAGGATTTACCAGGTTAGTCGTAAAAGAAAGGAGGAGTTTGGAGGAATCGAGGCCGAGGTGTGTTGACGGTGTGCTCCCGGGTAGGGGGCCGACACGTGGCCCAGCTCTCACCTTAAAGCAGCCCAAATGATAACAGAGCCCGAGGGACTCGATGATCATGGCCGCTCCCTTTCCCAGCGGGGTGTCACAGAACGTACAGATTTTCTTGCCACTCACTGACCTGGATTACAGAACGCACAGCTGTGATTTTTAGAGCCGAGCACACGTGCACAACGCATGTATGCATACGCACACAGACACACGCACACAACACATGTTCACACCATGCAACTGTTAAACTGATAGATGGCTTGTTTGCTAAAGGTCAATATTGGCCTTTTTTGTTAAATAATTATCTTGGATGAGGGCCAATCACGTCCCCTGCCGAAATGGAGCAGGAGTACCTCCATGACCATAGCTCCACAACATTCTGTAAAATATTTAATAATGTTTTTGCATTTTTCATTCCTTTAATTGTTTATTCCCCTATACAAATCACTGAGCAAACAACTATTTATACTTTTGGCACGGAAACAAATTGGCAAAAGAATATTGGGAAGTCTTAGCTTGACTCTTAAATGACCAGTGCCACGGTGTTGCTTTAGAACACATGAACAAAGATTCACACACACTCAAAACAACACTGTATGTTGACAGTGGATTTAAACAGGGAATCTGTAAAACAAATAAAAAAGGAGTGTACAGCATAGTCAGAGTTTCACCTGTCAGCTGTGAATAAAGAGGTGAACGACACATAACACAATATCATACAACAACGTATCATATTAGGTTCAAAAGCAGAACAAGTGAAATCAGTTGAGCTTCAGTTGCCCTTTGCCACCACTCCCCATCCAAAGTCATGGTTTATCAACACCACCTGGAATAAGACGATGCAACCCAGTATACCAGTGAGAGGTTAGTTGTTGGGGGTGTTAAGCGAAAGCAGCACTGTTAATATTTACCTGTTCCGCTGCTGAGGGGCGCCTGCCTCAGACGTGGGCTCTGGGGAGGTTGCGGGTGACGGAGAGGACGGTGAGGGGGACGGCGACTGCCGGGACCAAGGGGACGAGGGGGTTCCCGCCCCGGCTCGCAGGGAGCCCATGGAGTAGGAGGAAGGCAGGGTGGAGGAGCCGGGCCGCTGGGCCCCCGACGACACGCCGCCGTAAAAGGGAGTGCTGCCGGAGAGCGCCGAGTTAGGCCGAGTGTAGTTTTGGGCGTGAGTGTTGCTCCTGGGCGTCCACGACGAGCGCCAGGAGTTGTAGGAGGCGTCCAAGTTGTCGAGAGACTCACCTCTGCAAAGGCCATACCCACGCCACACCCACATTAGCCCGTTAGAGGCATTTAAAAAGTCTGGCTACTAACTGAACCTGTGGTTTTAGAATATCTGGTCCGATCAAATCTGCCAAGATAAAGTCAGAGTAGCCAGACTAGTAAATGTTGTAATATTTCTGTGCAGGTAACACAGGATATTAGTAAGGGTGAAAAGCCAGCCACCACCATCACACAACAGAGATGAGATTGTTTCACTCTAACCAGACCGTACCTGCGCATGGGCGGCACGTCGGACTCATCGGTGGCAGCGGTGGTGGTGGAGGAGCGCTGGCGGATCCAACTTTTGTCCATCAGCATCGGAGTCTTCTTCTTCATCTCGTTCAGGATCTGCTGGCGCTCCAGCTCCGCCTGCGATGCCGACTGCTGACCCTTCTTCTCACCCACCCCGCTGCCCGTCACTGCACCCAGAGAGGAGAGGGTGGAAAACTCAACATTATGCCGCGCTCAATGAAAACGCTTCCGGGAGGACAAACATAGATCACGACTGGCGAAGAGGACGGGTCAGAAACAATGAGGCTGTGATGAAGTCTGGTTGGATCGGACCATTGTTTTTAAGCGCAATGAAATTTAACGCACAAGAGAAATCGCCCTGCAATCAATGAGTTCATTGTTTTTTTGCTGCATGCAATTTTTCCGCTTGGCTGACTGATTGATGCACCATTTGATTGGTCAGCTGTTAATCAAACAGCTGTAGGTTTTTGATTTCGTAGATCATCACAAAATGAGAGCGGATCGGGGGCCGAGCCCACCTCTCTCTGGCTCTCTGTATCTCATGGCGTTGAGGATGTTCCTCCTCTCCATCTCCAGCTCGGACGCCGCCCGCTGACTCCGGGCCTCTTTGTCGAGCGCGCTCCTGGCCTGCTCCTGCAGCAGCCGGTGAACCATACCCCCCGGCTGCACAAACGCACCTACAGTAGCGCACGGCCCAAATGCATGTGCAACGGCACAGCGCATACGTTGCTTTTACAGTTATATTTTCTAAAGTTTTAAAACAACAAGTACGAAGAGAAACTAAGATCTTATATTGCTGTTGCATTCACAATCCATCACTTTTTTTCATTAAAGGTGAACTACAATGATGGACAATACCTTCATTTAATAGAACACTGACCTTTTCTCAGAGGTTTTTCCTCTTCATCAAGCTGGGGAGATGATTTAGACTTCTTCCTGTCAAATAAAGGAAAATAACTGTTATTTTAAAAAAAGAAAAGAAAAGGAGCCATACTTACACGGCTATCTTTATAGAAGCCACAGGTTTTATAACCTTTTTATTACCACCATAAAATATCAATCAACTTCAATTTTGAAATGTCAAACCCCATGGTGAAAAAAATGGTTATATAAGAAAAGCGCTGATTGCAGACAGCACAGGTCACTTCCCGCTCAGCTGGAGACATAACACACTTATTGGAGGCCTTCCAATTTTATGAGCGTCTGTATAAAGAGAGACTGTTTGAATGATTCAGTTCGAATGGAGCCATAGAAACAAAGCATCGAGTACCTGGACACACGCTTTAATATGTGTCAGCTTTGTTCATTACTGAGAAATGTATTGAAAATAATACAAAAAAACACGATTACTGCTCCAGAGATATACGTGATGTCAAATGATGCACCTGGTGTATGTGTTTTAAGGTGAATGACAAATTGTTCTCGTTTGATAGAAACTGGTGTTGGTGTTGGGCAGGATTATGTGCTCGTGAGACACTGTTTTGGCAGGTTCGGTGCAATTCAGGCAAGAACTGAATGTGTTGCCAAGATGACTCCTGTGCAGAGAATTACATAAAGCACTCAGAAAAAGGTGAACCTGCAGCTGAAAACCTGGAGAAGCTGACGTGAAAGCAACACTTATTCATTTACAATTCAAATGCAACCGATTACACTTGAAATCCCCCTATTTAATATTCATAAGCAGTATACAAATATTTAATGGAAGGTTTATAACACAATTTAAAGAACTGCTGTTATTACTTCACTTTATATTTTTACTCCTGTTTTATTCTTATCTCGTTATAATTCACTTTTTCTATTCTAGTTTTACTTATTTTACTAAATTGATCTTACTTGTATTGCTATAATTATTTTTGCACTGGTGTAAGTACTTATACACTTTATATGTATTACTCTATTGTATATATAGCTTTATAATATATTCTAATGTTTTGGAATTTGGAATTAATAAACCTTATCTTATCTTATAATGTAGTTGTAAGCAAATATAAGGACATTTTGAAGTGCTTATTAAACTTCTTCTGTGAAGACATATTGTATATTATTACAACTGCTTTTTAGTATATTATCCTTAATTAATTATCTGTTCATACAGGGACCTTCATTCATGGGAGGCCAAGGGAGGAGTTATAAGGGTTAATTAACCTATTTGCCAACAACTATTTATTAGTTGTTCATATACTGTACTGCTCTTAAACACTTAATTGCGGGACATTCAATAAAGTGTTGCCCATTCAACCTATTCAACTCATTATCTTGAAATACTATAATATAAATTGTAATCATTGTGAGGCACTTCAATCATTATACGTAGTATTAGTACTTATCAAATTGGGAATAAGGCGAGCAGGTTTTATTGGGGCCAAAAGCTGATTAGCTGCATACAGAAAGCAGCATTATCTTGTGACTGCAGACGCAAACACAATCCCTGCTGGAATGACCTGTCTGTAAAGGACAGAGACGGCGGCACACTGGCAAAGCCGGAGGCCCTTTGGTTTTGGGAGTGTGTGGGGAGAGGTGGGGCGAGGGTTACAGCACAAAGGTGGAGGACAAAGCACATGCAGACACGTTAGTCATGTTAATGCACAGACAACAAAGCAGGTTATGTCAACTATGTTATTATCCACATGATGGATGTATGAGGGAGACGTGTGAGGGGAGTAGAAGGAGCGGTGGTTCCACTGACCACTGCTGCTGCTGCTGCTGCTGCTGCTCTACCAAGGCTCTCTCCCGCTCCCTGCGCTGCTGCTCCACAGCTTCCTGCCGCCTCCTCTCCTCCTCCCTCTCCTCCTCCCTCCTCCTCTGCCACTGCAGCTCCTCCTCCACCCTCCTCTTCCTCTCCTCCTCCTCCTGCCTCTCTTTTGTCTCCCTCTCCTCCTGGAGCTGCCGCAGCTCGCGCTCCTCCTTGTCCCTCTTCCTCCTCTCCTCCGCCTGCCTTTGGCGCTCCTGTTCCTCCTTCTGCTTTCTCTCCTGCTCCTCCCACGGAGGAGCGGGGGGCTGGCCGACGGGAGAGAGGGCCGAGAGTGGGCCGACGCCGCGTCTGCTCACCCCCAGGCTCCCCGGCTGCAAGAGAGAAGGGAGGACGGGAAAAGAGGAAGCGTTCAACCCACGATGGCATTAGTCTGAACTTTATCAACCTCCAGGAGTTACTGATCAACGGTGGAGGAACTCGTGTTTTGAAATTCCAATCAATGGGGAGTTTTTGTTGCAAAACTATAAGCCGTGAAAGACTTCCGTCACTACGGGAAACATAATCACACATGTTGTGTGTGTCCTGTGTGAATATCTACATGACAAGGCATTGTTCTGCTCTCACTCTATGGGAAAAGAACCTGCATTTTAAAAAAGCCAGAAATACCAGCCCCAAGCCATGTAACTGTGTCAACAAACACAGAACATGTATTAGAATACATTTAGAGGTCAGAGCTTATTGTCCCCTTTTAATACAAATGAAATCCTTTTCTCACCTCTTGTTGGTCAACGCTCTTGGCAACCTCCTCCTGATCCTTGAGCCACTCCTCCTGCAACTTCTCCTGGTCGCGTTTATATTTCTCCTGGAAGAAAAAAGCAGGGAGAGATGTCAAAGTTCACCCAAATAAAATGACACACATGCAAACACTCACATAAACACAAAGACAATGAAAGAAATATATATTGTTCAGTACAGTGGGAAGAAAAAGCAATTCAAATAAAAAATATATTCTAGCTGTATTGTATTCAGGTAATTCTAGGATCACCAACATGTTATCTAACCATCCAAGTCTCACTGGCACATCATGAAATCAGGCCGTATATCCAACAGGGAACAACACTGGAGGAGGAACAAGCCTTCGCGGCTACAGCAGCTCTGCTCGGACACCTTTGATCTCCATCCAGAAATAGACCCTCGGAAAAAATGTTGAGACAGGGTTCTACTACATTCAAGTCGGATACTCGACAGATGCCTTACTTTCAGCTGCCGGATCGCTCTGTTAGGTTTTCTGTCTTGAGCCCATTAGGAGCAGTCTGCTTTGATTGGGAGGACTTCCTGGTCTGTTATTTCAATCTCTGAACCCCGTCTCATTGTGAGATGGGGCACATGGACAGATTCCCGGATGGGAAGAGTATTTTAGATCAAATGGATTGGGAGGCTGGTATTTTCAGTTGTATTAATGGACTAAGGCCCACCTAGCTGAAACAAATGCAGTCTAATATACAAGTCCTACAGTAAATCCTACCTTTGTGAAGGTTATAATGTTCAGTTTCTGTTTCATGGTCATTCTAGCGGGTGCAGGTTTTGGCGCTGTTGAATTGTAATGCGTTTTACTGAGAGGTGTGCACCAAATATTAGAATATTGTGTATATTTGGGCCTTAGAATCTGAAAAAAACTCAAGGAAATTGATATTTGTCTCATACAGATACACATAGTAAATAAATAAAAATAGAAATAGCAAATACACACTGCTTTAAAAAAAACCTTTCCATTCTCAGATTTTTATTTGACACAATTGTCTTCAATCTGTATTGTTTTAATTGCATTTTGTTTTTTTATCTACCTCCTTGAGTGTCTTTATTTCATTGCGTTGTGATTCATCTTAATTGTTGCTTTCTTAATATAACACAATACAATTTAACAGCACCACAAACTACAGAATCAACCCCTCTCTAGTACACTTCCAGTGAAACCTGGACATTGTAACCTTGACTGCAGAGCTGATTAATTACCCTGCGTTAGCTTCAGCTGCGTACACCTAGTAAACTGGCCACTGAGTGCATGTTTGCATTTCAACACCCATGCTACCATACTATTTAGTATGCCATGTAGTATGTCTCAATACCTAGCATGTCAAATGCAGCACGCCAAAAAACACCAGGATGTCCTACTACTGCACCCGGTCACATTTATCCATCAAGACGGTCAAAGTTCAAGGCCCATTGTTATGACATAGTAGGATGTCCCAGTTATATGCATAACGTCTGCGCTACTCGAGCGTGCCCTTATGTACCTGTAGGAGGCGATCCTGCTCCTTCTGCCATTTCTCTTGTCTTTTGCGCTCCTCCTCTGGGTCCCAAGACCAGCGGCTGGAGGACGGGTTGATCGAAGGAACAGGTATCTGCAGACGGAGAAGAATCACTTTGTGATATTGTCAAGTCAATTTTAATTAAGACAGTTTGTACAATTGACATTATATTTGTATCCTTAGACCCATGAGTATTTGATCTAACTCATAAAAAGGAAAGCTCCCTGCAATCAAAGTCATTTTCAAATTTGAGATTCATTATAATGGGTCTATACTTTGTAATAACTGTGCATTTAAAGATGTTTTCCTGCTATAATAGAAAAAACAGAAACGGCCCTCTATACACTGATAAGACTACTCACATCTGGCATTGCAGACTCTGATCCTCCTTGAAAAGAAAAGAAAAAGCATCCAGTCAGTACTTCTGGCATGCACAGGCAGAGCAATAGAAGAGAAGTTAACCCTGAGGCAATATACTGTAGCAATCGCAAAGTTGACAGGCTTATTACATTTTCAACAGGATTTTTAACTCAAACGGCAAGTCCTCTTTGAAAATGTCAAACAGTAAATGATGTTTTCAACAAGCCCACCGAGCAACAACGGTTAAATTTCACCCGCTAGGACTTATTGATTCTCTCAATCCAAGATCAGCCACTGGTTGACATTTAAATTGGACGCCAGGCCCAAGAGGTTCAAAAATCAATAAACTGATTGTAAGGACAACAAGGCCAAACAAACTGGAAGGAAAAAACACATGTGTGAGCAGCATGCGTACACAAGGATGCAGACACATACAGCGCAGCCAGTCTGAAAGGTTACCGTACGGTTCGATACATGCAGGCCAATGCTTTCAACTGCATGCGCAGCAAAGTGAAGAGTGTAACCATGTGTTAAACCTGGAGCATTCGAAAAAAACACCACAAACACTGCAGGATTCCAAAGGTTTGTGTTTGTGGTTGGTACGCTGGCAAAGCGTCTGACATGCTGTCCAGCCTTTGGAGCTGAATGTGCTACTTTTATACTGTTTTACATTTTTCTTTTCATTTATACAGGGTTTCTTCTTCCCTCCAAAAACTATAAGCTGTGAATTTTCATCAGAAAATGATTCCTTAATTTGACTCCAAAATAGCACCAGGCTCCCCCGGTTGGAAAAGCATGTCAGAGTCCCAGTTTGTACCAAGCGAAGGTGAGGAGGTCACTGCACACTCAACCCTGTTTACCACAAAGGTAGACCAGCGCACTGACACGGGACCCCGAGACACCTGAAGAAGGGGAAGGGGGCACAGCACAAAAAGTTAAGCTCTGGCAACCAAACAGAGCCATGGAGGAATCTATTTCAACCCAGACAGCTCATAATCAATCGATAATGCAACTTATCAATTGAGCATGAGGCTGTGACCGATGACAAACATGCAAAACTCCCGTGGGAAGCTGAGAGACAGAACCAAGCCACCAAATCACAAAGAAGTCATTATTATCATTATTATCATTAAGAACCACCCCGCCCCGATTTGGTCAGTCGTCTTTTCTTTTTTTACCTTTTTCAAAAAACTCTGACCTCCGTTTTAAGTTTTTCAAAGATATGGGTTCTGACTCTACATGAGAGATGGAAAAGAGGAGATATACCATTTTATATTACCAACACAGGAATTACACACACAGCACTGCTGTATCACAATAATACATTTCAGATAATGTCACATCTTTTTGTTACACAACACAGTAAATGTCCATCAATAACCACAACAGTCCAGTGTTTGCAAAGACGTCAACAAAACCCATCTGTGCGTTTCCGTATTCAGCACAGAAATAGTTGCCAAGATCAATTCCACAACCTTTCTGATTGTGTGCTCTGCTCTTTACCTTTGTTCCTCATGGTCACCGCCTGCTCACGGAAACCTCCATTAACTCTGTTTGAAGCCACGTCCTGCAGGGGGGAGACACGGCGGGGCGCCCGCTCATTAGAAGGGCCCACAATACAGAAATAAAACTTGATCAAAACCCGAGAGAGTTCACCCCAGGTCACTTACGAGGACTGGGTGGGCGGTGGCCTCTTTGGGGAGCAGCTTTTCCATGGAGGCACGCGAGGTGAAATCCAGGCTGGAGCTGATGGCGTTGGCGTCGGGGTAACCTAGAAGTATCGGATGATCCATACTGGTCAGATTGACGGTCTTATGGCTTTTAAATGGCATGGGAGGTTGATCTCTGTTCCAGTCTGCATGCAGACAATGCAATGGCAAAAAAAAAAATAGGATGTGTGTTTCTGCACATAAAGCCACGTATTCTGTGCCTATATATACTGTATGTGTGTATGTGTGCGCAGTAGTAGTCGTTAGGTATTTGTGTACGTGAAACCCAACATTTGACAGTGAATTGTCTATTTACATAAAGAACGCTATGAAGCAGGGGACAAGGTTGCTGTTATGGTGTTATTACAGAGAGCAGCAGGGTGTGACAGAGAAACCTTCCCTAGCCATGCAGCCTATTGAAGCTTTCATAAACCCACACAGTGTTTCTAACAGGCTCACCAAACTATTTGAACAAGTACTGGCTGTTAGCTCAAGTCAGCTACTCTGGGTGGGTTATTCATATTTTTTTGGAAGGAGACACTGACGTAGTTGTAACAAGTAAGCCTGTTACACTAACACTGTGCAAACAGCACTCAGGGGACTGTGGACCCTGAGATGGGTTAAGTCTCCACAAGGAAAACACCGTACAGACAGGAATGCTGATAAGACAGAAAAAGCAGAAGAAGAAGAAGAAGAAGAAGAAGAAGAAGAAGAAGAAGAAGAAGAAGAAGAAGAAGAAGAAGAAGAAGAAACAACCAGTAGGAATAAAAAGGAAAAACAGGACAAGAAAAATGAACACAGGAAGAAAAACCAAAGTCTTCCCTCGTCAGATGAGAAAACAAACAAACATTACAGGTCCTTCACTGCTTAGCTGTCATGAAATCATTCATGGATGATTTCACAATAGTTTACGGACCAATTTAAAGTGTCAAAACTGTTTAGCAACGCAAGCGGCATAAGCAGCGCTGTCAGTCCAGGAATGTGACCCTTAAAGTGGTTCAATTCAATCTCCCGCAAACAAACAAACACACACACACACACACACACACACACACATGCGCTCAGACACACAGCATTCACATGACTCACTGTTCCTGCCTTGATGGCGTATATCCATGATCAGACTGCCCTCCTGCAGGGCCTCCTCCATGCAGGACTTCCAGTCGATGTAGCTCATTTCTGCCACCTTGTGCCCGTTCACCGTCAGCACCTCGTCCCCGACCTGAAGCTGGTACATCTCTGCCGGGCTGCCTGCACGAGACAGAGGATTACTCATAAGAGCTGTCATGCTTGCACAAAGCAGCAGTTGTTTTAGTCATTTCAGTGAAATTGAATTTACAAGAAATTATCAAGTTTTTGGACAATGAGACTTTTTAATTCGAGTTTCAAAAAAAATCTGTCTTCAAGTTTTTAATTTGTATTATTTAAATGATAAAAAATGCAAATGTTGTCAATATTGACGGTGTATTTTGTGTAACAGATACTAAACAGTGCGGGAAGCTACTGAAATTCAAAAACTGCCTCTTCAAACATTTCCTTTACATCATCTTGACTTTTCACTACCGCCAAGTGAAACAAGACAGAATATATGTTCATATTTCTACCAACTAATCATATTAAGATCAATACTATTGGTTGTGAACATTTAACTGTGTGTCTTTATGTTGCTCTGCATGGCTCATGCGTGCATGACGTGGTTAATAACAGCACGGCTCATTTACTGCACGGCTCCATGTGCAGAACCGTGAATGAGGTCATTGTACTTCTGCATCGTCCTGCTTTATGCATGCAGTTTTTGTCATTTTTTAGCGCTTTATGTCACTTAACTGGATTTTGAAACATCTTACCAAAGGACTGCAGCTAAACAATTTGCCAGCTGGTTAACATATACAGACATGGTGATTCACGTGTATTGTCCTTACAAATACAAATTGAAATTAAACAAAGTATGATGCATCGCGACAAGTACACTGTAGGTTGAAACTGGTGAGACAAAGCTAGACTATTGATGCGGGGTGTTACGAGTATTAGTGAAACCTCACTAAATTACATGAGAAACGAGCGAAGGTGGAGAAAGCTCAGTAGAAAGAGAGGCTCAGACCCAGCAGATCTGACCCAGATAGACGCTGCCCTACATAGGTCTGGCAACGCCACTGCAATGGACTTGAAAACCTGCTGACAACCATCCAGCAGTGCCTGGCTGTCATATATATCAGCGCCTGGGCACTGCTTTCAAATATTACTGCTGTACTGTATCTGTGAATACATCAGGTGAGATGTGACTGTTTGATGTTTTTTTCTTCTTCTTTGAACCACAGGGAATGTTGTGAGTTTAAGGCTGCCAGTTTGGCTCATCGGCATGCATTATACTGGAAGGTGAATAAAGCTTATATCCTGTTTGTTTGAAGGTACGTCTCTGCTGTTACCTCGCTGGATGGACATGATGCGAGCTCCTGTCGAGTCCCACGCCGCCTGGAAGCCAAAGTCTGTGCTGCTGTTGGGCTTCTGGTTCAGGCTGACCCGCATCTCACAGTAGTTCTCCTTGAAAACCAAACAGAGCAACACAGGTGAGTAGAGGCGAACTCAAAACACAAAAAAAACGACACCAAATAAAGGAATGTGTTCCTGACTTTCCATCGCTGCGGAGATCGCTGTGTCAGGTTGTGTTGTCTGAGGGTACGCAGGTCTGCTTTGGCAAGAAAGCCTTGCATTAATCATTTATGGCTGTTGATTAAATGCCAACCTGTTGCTATTCTTTCATTTCTGGTTGCATTATTCTATTATTTTTAAGCAATCTTTAAATTGAGAATAGAAAAAGAATGAAAATCTAATTTAATGACGCATTTGGGTTCACTACTTATTTACCAGAAAGCCAGACACATTGTCAGTCATAAATAAAATGTGTTTAACAATCCCCACTCGTCAATATACAAGCTGATCGGTTTTATCCACAGCAGGTAACGTGACTACCTGGCTGGCTTCTTTGGCTGGAACAGGACTGAATGGGGCTTCGGTCTTGACCTGAGGAGGGACGGGTGAGACAGTCTTCATCGTGGTCTTGTCCTCCTCCTCCTCCTCCTCCTCGTCCTCGGTGCTGTGGGCCGAGCTGGAATGAGACTGATGCTCGTCCTCAGAGGTCATGAACTGGTGATAGCGGCTCGGCACCGCCGACTTCTTGGGAGCGACGGCGTCGCCGTTGACGCGCTTCTGGGGTTCCACCTGTCCAAGGTGAATCCAGATGGTCAAAGGATGCACACTTTGAGTCTTTGACAACAAGATAATGTAAAATGAACTCAACAGCACAGGGCCGTTTATAAAATGCTGATAATGGAGGGAATGGGGGGGGTCAACTCTCTAACTGAGCATGAAACTGTTTCATAATCTTTACCTGAAAGTCACTAACTGATCTGATGAAACTGTGACAGTAATGAATGTGATGGAGGCCTAAAATAGCAGCTCTGGCAGCTGAGTTAGCATTATAAAAACACTAGCTTCATCTATTATTCATAAAGTACAGTAATCAGATCGGACTCTTGGGTAACATCGATGCCCTCAAAACACCTGAACAACAAGGCAAAAGATTTCTTACTGCCAAACAAAGACTCTCTAGATGTCCTTCAGTCCCCTTGTGCTGCACTGGTAGTTTGTATTTAGAATGATCAAGCACTCACTGTAAAGGGTCGGGGAAGAGAAGTGAGGCGGGACGACTGGGTCCCGAAGGGCCATGGCGCGACAACCGAGGTCAGGCGCGTGCTATCCGGTCTCTGGTAGCTCCTGGGGAGGGAGGCAGAAACCCGAGACACCCCGGGAGGCTTGGGTTCCATTGAGCTGGGCTGTGGTCGTTGTTTGTACAGAGAACCGGAGGAGGGGGCCCCCGCCTCAGTCTGTGCTCCCGACAATGGGCGCCTCGGCTCGGGCAACTTTTGCTGGGAGCTTGAGGAGGAGACGGCGGCCACAGTCTCCACTGCCTTGACTGTGCCGGTGCGTTCTGAGACTGAACTCAGTGAAGGTGCTGCTGCTGCCGGAGATCGGGACCTGTGGAAAAAGCTGCGGCTGGTGGGAGTGATGGTGGTGGCGTCGCTGCCTGCAGGACTGTCCACAGTGTCAACTCCCTGTGAGGTGGGAGGGGAAGCGGCCCTGCCAGTAGTCAGGGAGGCGGAGGGGGGTTTGTCCTCTTTCCGAGGACGCTCCGGGGATTCAGAAGAATAGTAAGGAGTGTCAATGGTGTAGCTTCTGGTGGGGAGGGCTCGGGTACGAGGAGAAATGACGGGTTTGTCAAATACGTCTTCGCCGTCCAGGTAAGACAGAGATCCAATGCGACCACCAACGCTGTTTTTTCCTTTATTTTCTCTGAGGACCGGACACAGGAGCAGAAGGGGGATGGGATGAGGAGGGGAAATAGGAGCGGGAAAAAAGTGGACAGTGATGGGTGAAATTAAAGACAAGGGTGGAAAGGGATGCAATTTAGGAAGATGAAGGGTACAAGTGACAGGAAGGGGAGTGAGTGTCAGGGAGGAAAATAAAAGGATTGAAAAGAGGGGTGGGGCAAAGAAGGGGGAGGCAGGTTGTAAGCCGTCATTAGATTACACTTTCACATTGACTGAAGGAACAATTACAGTGAGTGTCCTCATTCACTCCTGCACAAACAATCCTCTAGTCTCTGCGTTTAATAGCCCAAAACTTCTCATGCACACCTTTTATTCTATTACCTCAGCAAAGGATCCCCCTCCGAGGGTCAAAAAAAAAAGGTGTAGAAGAGGAACAAATTAAGCAGGTGTTGCTTTTTTGGGTAAAAAAAACAGGATAAGAAAATAAAAATATCAATCTACCGATAGATTATGTGATCAAGGTGTTTTCTCTTACCTCTCCTCTTGCATCTCCTTGAAGGTCTTGGATCTTCTGCTGCTGGACATGCTCTCCTCTGTTTTCTCCCTCTCCTCTTTCTTCTTCACTATATCAGAGTTGACACTCCTGCGCCGGTTCTTCCATTTGCTCAGGTCCTGTAGAGAAAAAGGAAGCCCGTCTAACCTCATGCACCATTTTTGCAACAGTTAAAACTTAGATCTGGATAAAAGCAGAGCGGTTGTGTTGCGTGGCTGACTGTACAGCTGGGAGGGAGGGAAGTTGAGAAGGAGAGAAAACCCACTCAGAATGGACTACATTTGAAGGTGTTCTATTTGTGTGCTTTAGGCTCCTCCTGGCTCACCTCCCCTGTGTATTGGGGACTGTGTGACCTAAATGCTGCTTTAAGACTCGATTATATTGCCAATGACACCAATCAGACTGCTGACTGTCACAGCAAGTCACACAAACATGGACAACTTTTTATCACTCTTAATTTATCCACCTACAAAATGAGCGCTTGTGATGCATTGATGGTGTTTAAAATTGGAGCACCGCTGCCCTTTGAAAATCATTTTCCAGGATTAACCTGTACCCTCAAGTCAGCTTTACATGGATTAATGTATTTGTTTTCATTCCAGGGTCTCTGTCTTACATCATCTGTCCATATTACATCATAAAAACGGCCCCACATGAATCATATCGTTGGTATTTACAGGAAGTTTGTGTTTCCTGCCACAAACACTGATTTGGAAATGAGGACAGTCCATAGCCAGAGGGCAGCGCTGCACCAATCAATGTCAGCTTCCGTCTCTGGCTTCTATCTGAGCAGCTCTCTTTTTACCCTGCAGGCCACATTCTGCACCACAACACCTGCTCTCCTGATTGCCGCATGGATCCTTCAGATCACATGCTCACCTTTCACTTCTGAGTTGGGAACAAAACTCTTTTCCTGCCAGAGTCAGATTGTCTTGATTTGTAAAACAAGAATGTAGGGATGGCGGACCTCGAGCAGACATATTATTTACTCACATCCTGCCACTGATCCTCAGTGTCCTTTGTCTGCTCGCGGTGCTTCTGCAGCTCCTCGTAGCGAAACTGCTGGACAATGTTGGGGTCCACCTGGATATCGCTTGTTGATTTACTCCTGTGGACAGAAAGAGTTAAGAGAGTTTTCAAAAAAGTCCCTGAGCATCAGCAGCTCAAGTGAGAGGTGGATGGGACGTTTAGTTTGCATATCCCGGCAGAAGCTTTACAAGGTAAAAAAAAAAAAGTTAGCAAAGATTGCATGCATGACTGTTGTGTCAAATAAACAGTAAAAAAAACACACCAAAGTTCAAGTCAAAAATAATTTCCACCTTTTACCTCCCGTCCATATGTTTGGATGCTGATGCTGGAAATAAGTCGGATTAGACCTTTAACCTGTAACCAGGTGTTAGTTTGCAAACACAGCACACGGGTCACCCACACAAAAATAAATGAATGTAAGCTGAGTGGGTTAGTAACATGTATCACAGCGCTCCCCCGTCATGCAAAAAGAGCAGAGTCACTCACAGCCTTCAGAAAAATGCACTCTTTGTCCTCTCTTAGCTGTTGAGACGTACATGTCTCACACTCTATCAGTGTGGACAGACCAGCGCTCAGTCAGAACTCTCACTGGGACACGCTAGAGTTTAGGTGGATGAACCAGCGTATTGCTACTGTGTGCATCTTTTCACTTTGTTGCTTTGTCAACAGAGCTTTGTGGAGCACCAACCCCCGCCCCCCCCTCCACCCCCCACACGCCCCTGAACTTGGCCCTGTGCCAAACAATGCACTGTGTTGTGTGTCAGCATTCAGCAGCCGCTGAGTGAGAGCAGCAGCACAAAAGCAAGGGGGGGGGGGGGCTAGCAAGGTGCAACTGCAAGGGGGGCCAGAGTGAATGCAAACGTGCCACATCCCTGGGAGCCCGCATCAACTCACCCGTCGATACTCTCTTGCGCTTGCTGCTGTCTGAGGAACCGGAGAGAGCCAAACACAAACAAAGTCACATTTCTGTGGAGGGAGCCTTTGACAGCGAGTGTGTGAGAGTGGCCCGGTCAAGAGCTGCGATTAGTCACTCTCAGACCGGATCATCCCCCACCAGCTGGTGTTGGGCCACAAATGTATGTGAACCCAGCTAAAATATGACGCGGCTGGTTTTCATTTCATACACTGAAGAGGTTAGAGTTTAAAAGTACAGTTCACCCCAAAATCAAAGATACATATTTTACTCTTACTTGCACTACAGCCTAAATCATCTTTGATTCTGGGGTGAACTGTCCCTTTAAAGGTGTGTATATAGTGCGCTTACAGCACGGTATCAACTTTCCTTTCCCTGACATTTGTATGGGGAGTTGTGCAGACATGCATGTCTCTCTAAACAATGCTGCCTTTTTGGAGACTCCAACACTGGTGACGCAGCTTTAACATATGGAAGTGAAGTAAATCCAGATGGCCTTGACTCAGGTTAAATGGTTGCTTTGTGCGTGCTTGTGTGTGTGTGTGTGTGTCTGTTCATGTGCAAACGCTGCAGTACATATTTGTGTTCAGGTTACCATGGAGTCCACGAGTCGCATCTTCCCTCGGAGCCGTGGGGAATTTCTACAGGCTTTTTCAAATCGGTTCAACAGACTCGACTGCATTTCTAATCGCCCCAGCTCAGCGCTGTAAGCGTGTTCAGGACGCTATGTTCGGATATTACTCAGGCTTGAACCTTTCCACACTCTCGTGCTGCTGGACTTGGAGCTTCACATATCAGTGTGAAGTTCCCTCTCCTGAGGAAAACAACACTGAACTCTGGACAGGTCCGTGTTACTGTAGGTGAGGTCAACAAATGGCCACACATTCCATCACGAGAGCACGAAGTCTCTTATTTTCTTTATTAAGCTTGTATTTTTTTTTTTCATTCACAGGCAAACTCGGTCTGACAGGAAAACAAAACCAAAGACTAAATGCAGAACTCAGGTCTGTTTTAACAGAGCTCATGATGTACCAAACAATATTGATAGTGTTTGTTCAAAAATCACACTTCAAAAACACAGTAGTGGTAGGTTTCCATGCACAGTCTCCCCATCCACTCAGCATGTACATACCACGTGTTGCTATGATAAAATGAACCATACCTCCATCATGCAGAAAAACCACAACCAATGTCATCGGGACTTTGACTGCGGTTTCTTATTGACTGGAAAAAGACTTTCAATTTTGAGGTAACAACAAACATTTAAAACAGGAAAAAGTTCAGAGCTCTTGCCGTGCCTTCGTTGCAGTCTATGTGACAGACCCAGTGAATGCTGAAGGCACCTACTCGTTTTCATAAAGAAGAGCTTGAAGAGATGGCCTTCAGACCAGTTGCTTACAAGTTGGATCGACATGCAGTCTGGACCGCTTCCCTATCTGAAAGAAAATATTCCAATTCTGAAATGGCACTAATGAGTTTTCACACTCTACAAAGTCAGGAGGAACTAACAGGCATGATCTGTCTTTACAACTTCAGAGCAGCCAGCCTCTCCACCATGAGCCTCTTCTTGTATCTCAGCCGACTGGCTTCCCTGATCTCCTGCATTCTCTGCAGGTCGCCTTCGCTGCAGGAGGACGGCACTGAGGGCACCATCTGACTGGCCGACGGGTCTCTCTGTGAGCTCTGGCTCTGATCGGAACAGAGTTTCCGGACGAGCATGTCATCTGTTTTAGGACGCGCCTCAGCCTGATTCGGTTTATGTGCTGCTGCCTCCCGGGTCAGAGGACACGGGGGGCACAGGAGTCTGGCCTTGAGATCGGGAGGCAGAGCCCACGGCTCCGGGACGGGCATGGGGGCGTAGTTGTCCGGTGCTCCCGAGAGAGGCCGCTGTTGCTGAGCCTGCTGGGTTTTCTCCTTGCGATAGACCACGTCGTCCTGCTCGATATCGGGGTAGTGGTTCTCATCGTCGCTGGCGCTGCCGTGCCGCTGGGTGACGATGTTGAGCTGCGGCTCTGACGAGTAGGGACGGTGGTTGGCCGACAGCTGGGTCTTTATCATGGCCATGTCCGTGTTGGACTGGAAGGCCAGGGTTCGCCTGGTGAACATGTCGTCGTTCTCCAGGTCGGGGGAAATGCTCTCATAATCGAAGGGGTCCGGGGGCTCACAGGGGTCTTGGCGCCCCAGGAGGGGCCACCGCTCACATTTGACCAGTCTGGGCCCAGAGGCGGGGTCCACTGGGGCAAACGCCAGAGGGGGGGTCATTAACAAGGGGGGCTGTATCTCGGGGAGATGTGGGAGAGTGTGTGCTTGAAAGCGAGGACTGCAGGGGTTGAGCAGAAGGAGAGAGAAGGACAGAGAGGTGATGAGTGCATGTGAACTGGATCAAAGAGCAAGAAAAGGAGGAAGAGATACATCACGCTGCCATAGTGCTGATATTTGATTCAAACAGATGTTAATCAAATCAGGATCACTCTGGTGATAAATAAAACTGGGACGCTAACTGCCATCACTGGAATAGCTGAATAAAAATAGCTTAAAGCTGAGTTACAGCCTATTTTCTACAAAGGTCAGTGCAAGCGAAGTGCTTTATAAAGTGTGTTAAGGCAACCTCGACAGTATATAATATATACTATATATTATCATTAGTATATTAGAAAGCAGGTCGTGAGCCCCAACAGGGGCCAATCATATTCCTTCTTTTGAAATGTGGATGCTCTAAAACATCCCGTCATTGTCACAACCATGCAGCTGTATGGACCTTTTCCCCACAACAAGGGTGGCGCGAGCCGAGGCCTCGTGCGTGTGGGGGTGAGAGGGGGAGGGGCCGGAGGGAGAGCGGGCAGAGGAGAGCCAAGGGCTGACGTCACAGTCGGAATCGTCCGACGAAGAGCCCGACTTCTTATAGCTACAGCCAAGGACGGTGGGGTGGAACGAAGAGAAAGGGAGAACAGGAGCAGAGAGAGAGTAAAAGGGAGGGGGGGGGGAAGATAGGAGGTGATGGCAGGGGAGGAGAAAGGAAAAGTAAGTGGGAGGAATCTGTACAGGAAATGCAGTGAATGACAGAATCGTAGGATCTAAAAAAGTTAAATTGGCATGCAATAATTGCAAAGTGGAAAAGAAAAAAAAGATTGTGCAAGAAGAAGGGAATGCATTTTATCCATATTACTACTCTGTCAAATGTAATAAAGTAGGTATATATATGAGAGAATTCCATGATTGATTTCAACGTCCTCACACACCTGAAGCCTTGCATCTTCTTGTACCAGGGTCTCCTCTGAGAGCCCAGTTTGATCTTCTGTATGTGAACATCTTCTTCGGGCGTCCAGAACTTTGGCAAGAACTTGTCATGCACTTTGGCCACGGGCTGGGGATTGACGCCCATCTTGCGGGAGTAGAGGTCATCCTGGACGGGGTCAGCGTAGCCCACCTCGTCGTCCTCGTCCTCGGAGTCGTCGTAAATCTCTCTGAACAGGCTGTCCGCGGACAAGGGCCGGCGGTGGTCCACCCTCACGGTGTCCTGCCGGGGGGGCCGCACACCCCCACTGTTGACGCTGCTGCTCGAGGGAGACAGCCAATCACACGTGTCAAAAAGGCTATATTCGGCAGCAGCACAGCACGCCAGTCACGCAAAGAGTTGCCAAACAACCTCAAACGAGATGACGCAAGGATTAGCAAACCAAACGCAAGCTCAAAAACCAAGCTGTAAAAGAGGCAAAAAATTGATTTGAGGAGTTAATGTCACCAAATCACTCCTCCAAGCTCATCAAATTCAGGAGACGCAAAAAAAAAAGGACGTGCTGCAGCAAATAAATCTCAAAACAAGTCAAACAGAAACCAACTTTCAGGCGAGTACAGAGCTCTGTTAGAGGCAGCACACCAAGGGCGTTGCTCATGGTTACAATCAACCATGCAAACTCAGGGTAAGAGAAGCGCTCTAGTTCGCTCTCATCAGGCAGGCACATCAAAGTCACACAGTTGCTTCATGTTCTCTGACCTGAGGCCGGTCACATTCTGTTGAGGGGCAACATTGGGAGTCATAGTGACCTTAGGCCAGGGGCCCCCGCTGGCCCCAGGCGCCCGTCCCGCCACCAGGGGACTGACGGGCACGGCAAAGTTGGTGGGAAGAGCCGGGGAGGGGCTGTGGAAGCGTCTGCTGGCCAGGTCATCCAGGACGAGGTCCGGGTCCGGTCGGTCTGCGTCCGAGTCGCTGCCGCTCTGGTACTCGTAGGCCCACTGCAGATGAGCCGCTGGCGAGGCGCTCTGGGATGCCTGGCCGTTGCCGCGGCCGTCGGAGGAAAGCCTTGTTTCACTGAGGTCGCCGCTCCACAGGAAAATTAAAGACAACACCGGTACACAACCAACGTCGACCATTCAACACAACAGCAGCACAATCACCCACATGATGGGAAAGGAGACAGGGTCAACTTTGAAGCACAGCACTTTGTGTGTGAACACTTTGTGTTACTTTGCTTTTAAGAAAAGAAAGAGGAAATGAAACAGCACCTTCAAACACAATCAAAGCATTCACTGGTGTGTGTCACAGTACCTGGTGAGTGTGGCTTCCTCCTCCGTGTACGTGGGGTTGGCCCAGCTGCGCCGGCTGTCCTCATTGCGCTCGGCCCGCTTCTTCCTCAGCGGAGCGGGCACGTAGGCCGAGGGTTTGTCTTTAGTGGGCAGGAACTGGTTAAACTGGGAGCTGGCCTTGGGCGTGAGGGTTACTGACCGGCGGTAACTGAGACCGCTCTTGTTCTCGGCCATCCTGACGACGGAGTCGGCCTCGGTGTCGCTGCAACAACCTGGGGCATTACAGTCACTTTAGCAGATGCTTTTATCCAAAGCGACTTACAATTCAGAGTCTATCACATTTCTACACCGTAGGCACAACTATGGGAGCAATTTTGGGGTTAAGTGTCTTGCTCAAGGACACATCGACGTGTGACTAGCAGAGCCGGAGCCGGGGATTGAACCACCGGTAACTGAGACCGACGCGGCCCTGCTATCCCCTTAGCCACAGTCGCCCCAGACTGGGGCAGAGACGGAGTGGGACGGGGGGTAAATAATCAGATTGTGGGAAATAAAGAAATAAAGTGGGAGAATAAATGGAGGAGACGAGGAGAAGTAAAAAAGGAGAAATGAGGGGAGAGTAGAGAAAAGAGCGAGGGGGATCGTGTTGTGTGTTCTGGCGTGAGTCTGGAGGAGTAACAGAGGGGTGCAGGGTGGGGAACGGAGGCCTCCTCATTTACAAGCCGCTGTGGAATGTCTCACTTCCCTGTCCTGCAGTGTGTGTGGGGGGGGGGACCACTCTGAGATCACTGACCACTACTTCAACCTCACAAAGCATGCTATTTTTTTTGTCATGAAACAAGATTGCAGACAAGCTTTTGTCGTTGTTATACATCTCCTTCTGTGGGTGCTTTTTTCACTGAAAACATTCACTTTCAGGAGCACACCACTAGATGGCAATAGGTGTTTGTTTTCACTAATGGGAGGCAACTTTCTGGCTCCTTTGCAGCATAGCTTTCCAGTTCACAAATATTTGAAGTTCTGGACAGAACAGAGATGAAATTTGAGAAAGTCTGAACACTTAAATGACAATCTGCAGCTAGGATGTGATGGGGATAAGACAAAAACATGCTTTGACCTCTTAAATGCCATAAAGTCAGCTTTAGATTAAAAAAAGAGAGAGGTGACGAACAGAAGATTCAGATATGTTTGTGTAGAGATGCAAACACACGAGGTCTCTTACCCTTGCTGCTGCCTTTAAGAGTGGTGTCAGATGAGATGATCTGGGGTCGGGAGCCCAAAGAGTCCAAGCTGTCCAGGGAGTCGTCTCTCCTGTGTCCTCCTCCTCCTCCTCCTCCCTCTCTCAGTTGGAAGAGCTCCTCTCGCTCTGAGCACCAGCTGTCTCCAAAACCGCTGTCTCTGACGTTGCCGCCTTTCTGACTGGACGATTCCTGCAGAGCCTTTCATATACACACACACACACAGTCAGATAATGGGCTGCCAATTACAATATTTAGCTCACCAGTGTGTGTGTGTGTGTGTGGTGCGTCAGAGGTCTGCACTGTCTGGCCTCTCGTTCCTGCACACTGAGTGACTGGAAATGCTCCAGTACTGTCCATAAGAGACGATGCATTCACTGCCATCTCTGTCAAAACAAATGGTGCCATGCACCGTGTGCCGTTGATGACTGTTTACCGCCTGAAGACATTTTTGATGGCTCTTGAACACATAAGCAAGCCCCGGAGCCACTTTAACTAGCATGGCTACGAACAAGCCAAAACTTGAAAAGCTTTCCAGATCTGTAATCCACCGAATCCTACCAGACAACACAAGTCCACAAACTAAACCCGGCCTAACCTCGCGCCACTGAACTTGGATTATCATAGCTAAACGTACAAGACGGCACAGTAACCGACTGCTATTACTGAAAACCCCTGCAGTCAGATTAAATTATAGGGGACTAGCGCACCATCGCCTTTAAATCTATGTGAGAGCAAAGTGCCAAATTCAACACTGGAATGAGCAGGGGGGCAGGAAACGGGCTCCTTCAAAGAGAAGAAGCAGCTATTTTCACCTGCAAATATGAGCCGACTGTGCGACCGTGCCGTAAGCAAGATTTGAAATAGCAGAGGCAGAGGATCGGGTCATTTATGACTTAACGTAGCTTTGGTTTTAGAGGCCAGCAATCTGAGGCCCCTCGACCTTTTCACAGCGATTCCTCCACACATAGTGTACATACCGGGGGAGGACACAGAAACGTACTGAGCAGTGGCTGTAGAAGAGGATTTTCTTCACGATTTATGTGATTTCCACGAGAAAATGAAGCTTTTGTTTCCTGACGACACGGATAAGACAGCTTAGAGTGAGCAATGGGATGACGATCCACTGTTTTACCTTGTATAGTGCTGTGCCCAATAAGCCCTCGAAGGCCTTAAAATTCAGGTAGGGTCCATCATAGGAACGGTCACACTGAGCTCTCCTACCAAGCCAGTAAATGGCGATCAGCACCTGGAAAAGAAGAAAACAAACAGCTTCTTACACAAAGCATACATGTGGAATATAGGTGGAAAACCCACTACCATTACCAGACATACTACATCAGATCAGAGCTCTACATCTACCCCAGCCCATGAATGCTCTGTGCCAGGTGATTGTTGTGTTAGTTAGCCGCACTGACACCAGGTGATATCACTGCTCTTGTTTCCAGGCTCATCCAGAATACTCTGTTGCTGTTTGTGTGTCGGGCCGGGCAGGTAAATGTGCTGCACTGAAGCAAACAGGCATCACTATATTGCAACGTTTTGCTGGTCCCCTTTTTACACGATACGCTTCCAACTGACACGTCAGCTCTTTGGTGTTGTGTCACGCGGCCACATGCGGGAAAATAATGTGGGTTTGATAAAACACGATGAAGCTGTGATGTGAAATACTATGCTTTCACTTTTCAAAAAATGTATGACCAATAAAACATTTATGGGATAAAAATTCCCTCAAAAAGAGCAAATGAAACACTATATCTTGTAATTTAATACCTTTCAGGATACTTTTCAAACGTACAGATAAGACCTTGCAATATATCTCAAATTTACCAAATGAAAACCTGTGTCAGTCACAATGCCTTGGTCATTATGAATACATTTCGCGATGTAGAATAAAAGCATTTCAATTTGATGCAAATCCTACAGTGTGCCTCTGATTTTTAAGGTTTCAATTTTAAAAAGAACTCCATAGATATATTATTTATATCTATCTACCTATAGCATTGTCAGACTCACGATGGACTGTTAAAAAAAAAAAAAAAAGTATCATAATCGATGCAGCAGATGCAGAGATATCGCATTTCTTATTCCACACATTCTTATTTATTCTCAAAACCTGGCTCCTACATTACCCACAATGCATATAGCCTTCAGCTGCTAGCCCCAAGTACAGATGAGGAGCTACAGAGGTCAGGTAAACTCACTTCTTTCTAACTACACAACTCCAGAATATATATATATATATATATATATATTAATATATAATTTATTTTATTTTTTACTTATAGTCTTCCGCCCGCATCCAACTCATGTGACATCACTCGAGTCACTCAAGTCGACTCAGGTTTCAGATTTTGCACAGCTCTCACTGGAGCCACAGAAGGCTTAATACATACACATGTATAGTACTCGCTAACACCTGTAAAAAGGCTTTAAAATGAACTCTGAACAGGACTGAAGCTAAATTATCTTTTATGTTTTATTATTTCTGAATAACAGGTCAATAAATCAAGCTCTTCAAAAACAAAAACAAAAAGGTTATATTTCTCCACTCACATTTTTCAGCCTTCTGTTGGTCTCTTGATGCCTGCGAGAGAAAGGGCAGAAAACAGAGGTGTGTGTGTTTGTGTGTGTGTGAGAGAGAAAGTGACAATAAAAGAACAGAGGGCATGCTTGTTGGGTCTCTGTGTTGGGCGGTGAAAGGGCTGGAAAGTGAGAGCACAATCCAGACCTACTGCCAGCCCTTCACTCACTCGCACACAACAACAAAAACACAGAGGCCGAGAGAGAAACCAAACACGCATTCCTCCAAAATAATAATTGTGAGCCATTAAGTGTTTTAGGTGTGCGTTTATTTTTACACTAATCACACAATCAAGCGGATGTAAAAACACATAGTTAAAGCTTAGGTGCACAAAGGGGTTTTTGTTTCTGATTTCAAACGATACAGCTAATAACTGACGATTATTAGCTGAATACCGCTACTGTTGGAGCAGCAGAGCCTCTCGCGTGCTACCCAGCTCATACAGGATTTCAGTCGTATTTCTGGGGTTTGACAGTTGACCTGACAAGTCAGCAAATCACTCTCAGCTCAATCTTGCTCCTGTGAAACCAAACAACACTCACAGTGTCAACCTGCATGCCTGATATATTCCCTTTTTTTTCTCATGCACATTGTGTACCTGTCGCCTAAGGTGACCGTAGTGTCTATTTAGAGAGGTCAATAAACAGCTACAGTGCACACAGTGGCCATAACGGTGACAGGGGGAGATATACATCCCCTCTGCAGCTCTGCACGCTACACATTCCTGCTATCACGCGGTAATACAAAAGTCACGCATGCCTCTCTTCCCCCTGAGCACATGGATTTCCTCACAACCCCTTTCCCGGCATGCGGTGCGACCGGCGCAACTGCTCAGAGTGTGATGCACGTGTGGCGTCGACACCTGAGATGACTTCCGTGTCAATATAACGTCAGTTTCATATACTGTAGGTCGCTAAGTTCAGGAGGAGGAAACACAGCGAGGACGTATAATCGAGCACATCATTTCAATCAGTCAAATGGGGACAACTGAACTGATTGTCTGATATAGTACTCAGTAAAGTACTTCAGAACTATTTTAAAGACATTTGTACTTTACTTAAGCATTTCCATTTCCTGTTACTTTATATAGTCCTGTTACAGTATTTTTTTACTCCACCAAATGTATCTGACAACTATAGTTACTTGTCAGATTTCACATTAAAAACATTGGATTCCATAATAAAATACAACAGACTGGTAAAGATAAAACCACTGGGAATGGGAACAGATCAACTTTCTCACCATTATGCGTCATCGTCAGGGGTGCGAATCCTAATTTGCCAACGGCGAACACTGAAATGGACGGTTACCAATTTGGCATACAGCAAATTTATAGGCCCAATAAAAGAGGTGGGAGGGTAACAAAAAATACCCTCTCTAGTGTGGCTTGGAACACAGTCACAAAGCCTAAGATTATAGCAGCGCTGGCCAGATCCAGAAAATAAAAAGAGCTGTATACCAAATCTACCATCACACTGCTTCTCGCAATGCTTATTTATGGCTAGTGGTGATAGCTGAACTGAAGGGAAAATATATACAAAGGGATATTTTCAGGCCTCCAGAGGAGCCTCAGGACTGTTGATATCAGCTGAGCGCTCATATGATTGAGCGCAGTCATCGACAGAACGTCATCCGAGTATGAAACACAGTTCTGCACAGAGAGTACAGGCAAGGAGCAGCCTCAGTGAAGTACTTTTACTATCAATTCAAATAACCACTTTGGGTTTTTGGTCTTTAATGTGCCCAAAGGAGAAGAAAGACATTTGCGTTTGTGCATCCTGCACACATGAAAGGAAGCCTGAATTTATAAGAAATATAATATATATCATGCCAAACCGATTCAGAACAAGAGTCCTTGTGAAGATGTAATTCTGTCTGTTTTGTTCCAGGTTTAAAAGGTTCACTTCAGGGTGAAAAATCATGCTTTTATCAAAATTTATTTGACATTTGCTTTTATCAAATGTCAAAGTCAGGATTCTTGAAAAATTAGGCAAAAAGCTTTCTTTTTGTTTATTAAATAAAAAATGTTACACTGCATCTATCTTTGATATTCAACTCATTATGAATTCCCAAATACTCGATTGTGCTAGTTGCAATATCTAAGATACACACAATTCTCGTCGTACTATATTTATTGTTTGGGCACGTGGGATGTTGGAACATTTCAGTTGCGGGCACAAATGGGTTACAGCTGACTCCTATCAGCCAACCTGCTGTACAGTGACAAATTAACCAGCCAGCTATCAGCCCTGAGCCTCACCCTCTGCATGCTGACACAGACTTTCACGTCAGCGCTCTCTCGCCGAGGTCAAAGGGTGACGGACATCCTTCTTCTTCTAACCTCCAGAGGAGATGCAACGGCACAAGACACCATTAGTTGTGCGGGTTAGCCACTCGCTGTGTGCTAAACAACCACACGATGCAGCATAGGTGGACGACAGCTACATTATCAATCGACATTAGATGCACAAGTTTCAGATTCATCAAGTATTAAGAGACTAAGGAAAACCACATTTTGTATAATAACTTGAAAACAGGTGTCTAATGTATATTATTTAAACTTATACTATATATTCTACCTCTTTCTTGTCGCATGGCGACTGAATTGCGTGAATCTGTTGTGCCAAAACACACGATTTCATTTGACTTGAAGCAGTTGAGGAGTGTGTTCTGCCAGTACAAACCAACCAGACAAAAAGAAACACATGCAACCGATGAATCGTTAGCTGCTATTCAAATGCTGGACAAATAACTTCATGACAGGAGCCAAAGTAAATGATTTTTCCCATTAAGTCGATCACGTCCCGCGTGAAGTGATGTCTCTGTGCGTGGACCGAACGGAGACCACAGGATGTGTCTCCGTCCATGCACGGCCACCAACAAGATCGAGGCAGCTCTGAGACAATAACAACATCCCAAAGACAAACAAACCTGGCACCAAAGCCCTAAATTAGTGGGTGTGCATATGTGGTGAGAAGCATACCTCTGCAATGAAGATCACTTGCTCTGCAGCATTCACCAACCTCCTTCACCCACTTCCTTTCATTCTAACGAAATAGTTTGGATTTAAAGACACACCCAGCCGCTCTCACCGGGTAGTCCTGACAAAACCTACAGGGAGAGTTCGAACAGAGGAATCAGCCGTGGGTGAAGACGGTGTCGGGCATCATTGTGGAGCGGACTTATCAGAGACACTGCAGCCTCTGTGCAGCACAACTATAAGCCTTGTATTGGCCTTTTTTTTTCTATTTACAGCCAGGGCCGTGTCCGTGGTGTGTAGACTTTATTGGCCTTTCACTATCATCGCTCGTTTGCTTTCACCATCTGCCACAAGAAGTAACGGCAGTGCCACATACTAAACCACCAAACCAGAACGTGTGGTGCCAGCTCAGTGAACCCCCCCCCAAATACTAACACACAGGACACTTCTTTCTCCTTTTGCGTTATGCATTCAAAAACATTCAGACTTTGTCACAGTGAGCGTTAAACTACATCAACAGCAGTACACACACATGGCGTGAGGTACAGTATTAAGTAAATTCTGATAACAGGCAGTCCAAATTTGTCTGGGAAACAGCACATTCCTTCAGGTAGGTCAAACATTTGGTTTGATCCAGAGCCAGGGATGCCATGGCGCAATCACAATCATAGAATCACGCCACGCAGCCACTCCTCTTAATCTATTGTTTGAAAAGGGTCATTGACATTCCTCAAATGACTATTTTGATGTACCTGCCCATCCAGTGCAGTTTCCTTTTTTTTTCAGTTTGGAGAACAGTCAACCCGTGTCAATAATTTGCTTAAAAATCAAACGGCGGCAACGAGTGAGACTTTGGACTCCTCTCAGCGGGGGGTTTGTTTTGTCAGTTGCCAGAGGTCATGGTGCAAAAGCTGGACTCATAGCCATGAGTTCTTTACCTCAATACAAGTAGTAATACTTCAGGTAAAAGTAGCCAATTTCAGGTAAAAGTACTACCTTTAAATACAATCAGCAGAATATATGTTAAACCTGCATGAAGTGATTTTTGACCACAGCAGAAACGCTGACATGTCGTCACTTGATCACAAATCACTGCATATTTTTACGTCATATTTTTAGAGCAACATTATCATTCATTTGAAGTCGTGTTTCTGGTCACCTGATGAATTCAAGTCTAATATTTGCTCTCTTTTACGTCTGCTTTGAGTCTACCAACTCATGAGAGAAATATCTGTCTCTTTAGCTGCTAAATGCTGCACTGTGTTCACCAGCTAGTCCATAGCTGTGTCTGTCTGCTGTTTGGTGCTGAGCTGATAGTGTACGGCGGGTTTTTAGAGCTTCTTTAGCTGAAAACAGTTGCCTGCTGCGGGTGAAATCGATGCTATGTGAGCGGAGTGAGAGTGAACCAAAACAGTAAAGTTGTGAGCCGAACAGTTAAAAAATGAGCTGAAAACTCACTATACATCTCCGTAAAGCCGATGGGAGCTGCAGACTCAGGTGATAATAGTGTCTTCAGCTGGTTTAATGCTTCCATTTGATACATTGTTATCATAAAGCATATTCTAAGTATCAAAAGTAGATCTACATACTTCCCTCTTAGATGCAGTGAGGTATAAAGCATAAAGTAGAGATACAAAAGTTGAGTGCAAATACCTTAGACTTGTACACAAGTACAGTAATTGAGTTAATCTACTAAGTTATTTTCCAACACTACTGATAGCTTGTCCTCCGAGGAGTTTTACAACATCTACATAGTATGTGATCAGATATGCTGCAATTCATCTTTGACTACTTTGATAAAAAGGCAGCAATTAGGAGGGTTAAGCCGACGTTAATGCAGCTTACACACTGAAATGAGCTGACTAAGCATGAGAGTCCCTCCACAGCAACAAGTACAGCAGCACAGTGTGTAGAGTTCCAGTGTAATGACAAACAAACTCTGCATATCCTGCAGTATCCCATTGACAAAACACCACTTGTTCAGACATTCATAGAGGTCAAGCGTACAGTAATCAGCTGACCTTTTGTGTCACCCTGGCGTGTTTTAGCCTTTTTCCTTTATATCAACTAAGAGTCGAGGTCCCGGTCCAACCTCGACTCCACGCTGTTGAAATTTCCAAATGGCAGCTAAGTGTCTAAAAAGGAAGTGGCCGAGGTTAAATGGAGCACTTTCAGATGCCATGATTCATCTGAAGCACTCCAATGCTCTCCAGACCCCTTTCCTGGGCAGCTGTTATGAGCGGACAGAGTTGGTCTAAAGCAGCCGGTGAATCATGTGGGATGAGTCCGATTCTGGTCCGGTCAGAATGACACCGCTGGGTGTTTTCAGCACTTGGCTGTAGTTCAGCGACACGTGGAAGATGTGAGGAAATCTTCCAGAACGCGTCACCCAGCAGCTTATCAGTCTGTTTCTCTATTACAACAGTTTGTCATGTTATATATACACACATATACATACAT